AGCCAAACTGAAACATGGAATGAATCCATGTTTGAGCAGTGCAGGTGAATGTAGACTTAGAGGGTAGATTAAGGAGTGACATCGGAAATTGGTGGTTGGACAACTCTAGGCCAAATGACTTAAAATAGGTGGCAGTGGCGAAATGCAACTACACATTATCTTAACACCATCCTTATCGCTATATCAAATTTCATTGTCCGCCTTACACCCTCTACTTTTTAGTTTTATGACTTCATACCAATTTTGGTTACATTTTCCCATCCATTCCCCTGTCTTTCATCTTGGTACCTAGTGTAGGGTGTAGCAACTTGGAACATTAGGCAGAAATTTCAGTTCCCAATGTTGTTATCTAGTAGTTGATTGACTGAGGCATAAGTCTGCATACTTTGAGAAAATACTGAGTTTCTATTATTTCTTTCTATTGATAAAACATAATTCACCATTTTTCCTCCGATTATATGAACACAGCAGAAAAGAGCAAGTCTGATATATTGGTGTTTTTTTCAACAGGAGAAAAAAAAAGGATTTCAACTGCACTTAACAAAAAACTCTATCTGACTACATGTGATTCAGAATAGCAGTCAGATGAATAACATTTGAAAATTAAGACAAATTTTAAAGCTTCCCATTGAATAATAATAATAATAATAATAATAATAATAATAATAATAATAATAATAAGCTCTTTTTGAGAAGCAATTATTATTGTAACCCACCTTTTGTGTAAGTTTTACACTTTCTGATTACAAAATTAGAACAAAGTGACATATATTGTTGCACTTCTCGCCATCATTACCATTAAAGTAACTGGGCTGATCGATATTTGTGTTTAAAATCTCTTAATGACTAGAAAGAAATATTCACACTGTGTCAAATTCTGGAATACAGGCACGCTTACTAAGGCCCAACAATAGCTGTATTGTTCGACTTGAAGGCTGCATTCGACTCCGTTGATCGAGAAGACCTATAGCAATGTCTCTCAGTGAAAGGCGTACCGAGTAAGTGTATCACCTTATTGAAGGCTCTCTACTCGAACACTTGTGGGCGTATCAGGGTCTATGGTGAGATGTCCGAAGAGCTGTGCTCGTTGAGTGGTATCCGTCAAGGGTCCCCATTCCCTCCATTCTTATTCAATTTTATCACAGATATTATTATGGAGGTCTCTATCTCCTCACATGACTACACAGAGGTTGACCTGATCGCGGGAGAATTTTCGTTAGACTTGGAATACGCAGATGACATAGTCCTCTTAGGTGAAGATTCTCACAAGATGCAGAGTCTTCTGAAAAATTTGAGTTGCGGTTTGAGAATGTTTGAGATGCGTTTCTCACCACCAATGTGCGAACTCTTGCACCAAGATTGGTATTCAACCGTACCTAAACTAACAATAGACAGTGTAGTGAGTGAGTGTGTTCATTACTTCACGCAAATGGCAAGAAGGACCAGGCAGGGGGGTTCAGTGGCTGATGAAATCTGCACGAACACGAAAGGCTCGGCTGCCTTTCATCCATTTAGGCCACATTTAGCACCGCCGTGATATCCAATTGGTCAACAGGGGCGAGTGCACTCCACAGCAGACCGCTTTGATCTACTCCATGGCTGTGAAACATGGCCATTGAAGGTGGAAGACATGAGAAGGTTTCAGGTGTTTGACCACCGTTACCTTCGTAGTAGAGGCCGTATTCCGTGGTGTCACCAAGTGAGTAACGCTGACATCAGGTGTAGAGTTTTAGGGAAAAGGTAAGTCAGTTGACAAGGTTATCAACCTTCGTCGACTGAGATGGTTGGGATACGTGTTACGTACGCCTAGTCGCTGATTGCCTCGTCACACAATGTTGGCCGAAGCAGGTTCAGGCTGGAAAAAAGCCCGAGACGGTCAGTCTAAAACATGGCACCAATGTATGAAGTCTCTGACTGTTGGTTTGAACCATTTGGGGCGATGCAGACTAGCCGGTTGGGGCCCGGGCAACAAGAGGAACCAGAGATTGGAGACTCTAAGTGATATGGCTCACAACCGATGCCAGTGGTGCAGATGCATACACACATTATCCTCATCTTGACGATGCTATACCGAATCTCACTATTTTCTCATTCTTCCTTTCTCTCTTTTCGTACTTCATATTTCTTTTGATTAGATTTTCGTTTCTTCATCTTGCATTTTATTGCATTGTTACTTGATGCACTGATATGAGATGTGGCAACTTGGACTGTTACGCAGCAATGCCTGGTCCTACGTTGATTTGGATGATGATGATGATGGGATTACGATGTATAGGGTGTTTTATGGTAACTGTGTTGTACTGGATCTTTTTTCAAAGTAAGCTAGATTTGTACAACTATGTTGTGTTAGTAGCTTTGCAATAACAGGTCTAGCTCATAGTTTCTGCATGTACCTCTATGTAATTGATCAGTTACATTATTCATATAATTGTGCCTTACAAAAATGACTGTAAATTACCATGCCTAGTGTATGTGAATCATGATAGTGGTTAAGAAGATTGCTTACTACATTACTAGGCTGTTAGTTTTTGTACAGCTTGAATATGCATAGGTTGATCGGTAATGCAAATGCTCGGTTAAGATAGGCCTCTGATTTTGGTGGACCTTATGCTGTCTACCTCACGTTTTCGACCAAGCTACTTACAATACTTTTTGCACAACTCATAGACTACCAAACAAGTTGGCATGTAATTATTTATTAGATTGTGGTTGAAAGTGATCATTATACTTCGTCGTGGGTATACTGTTCACTAGTGTATGTCATGGGTTCTAACCCAGCTCCACCTGCAAACGTCTGAACTGCCAAGTAGTATCACTAGCCCTCACACGATAGGTGTGGTTTATCGTCTACTGTAAGAATAAGCACAGGGTTGTTGAGTGGCTTTCGATTCGAGTGTAGGCACTCAACTTTCAACCGATAGATCAAAGGTTTGAAGTTCACACAACCGTTGCAGGTTGAGCACCACGTGGGCATCGAAACAATACACGTGACTACATATGCTTATTCAGCGACATTCTACTAGTTTACATCGATCATCTATAGTGAATAGTCCACTGACACTGCATCGATCAAAAGTTAATCACTGAATGGTTTTGTAAATGGATTCATAATATACCCGCTACTTAATGCTTGTACTGTTAAAATCCTCATACCAATAGGATGAAATCAATATTCAGGAAGCCTAAAACAATGCTCAATAGAGGAAGTCATAAAAAAAGATAATAACTCATTGCTAAACATACTAGGACGTGATGTTGAAACATTGAATGGGGTAGAAGAATTTATTAGAATCTGTTGAAGACGTGCAATTTCTGCTTCATATGGTTCTATGATAGCACGTAAACGATCTTCTTTACTGGAGTAAATCTCTTGATTTGAAAGTAGAGATGACAAACTGGATTTATTTAAAATGAAATTATTTGTTAGCGCTTTATGGCTGACACGTCTAACTAACTTCTCCACTTTATCGAAGGCTTGATTGGCTAAACTTTGAGCTGATCTCTTTTCAATTGACTGAACTGAAGATTTTTGAGCTTCGCAATTTGTGTTTTCTGATAAAGAACACGATGAGTCATTTAAATGTCGATCTTCTGAATACTGATGTAGATAACCCTAAAGAAAGTTAGAAAAAAAGAAAGAATTTACTGTTAATGGAATGAACAGATTACTAGTTTCTATACAAAAGTGAAATAAGGAGTGATTACGTGTAGCGAGGTTTTGGTTGAGCGGTTTATGGAGTCACTTTAAAAAGCCCTTATTTTAGTTTCTAGATATTTGAATCTCCCATTTACATGCGCCTTTATACTCCACGGCTAATGTTTGTTACTTTCTGCATTTGTCAAGGCTATTCTATTAGTGGTCGATTTCACTTTTAACACACCAACACCCTCATTTTTTGTTAAAGTCAAATCCGCTATATATATATATGTTGAAACGATAAAAATCCATTCATGCAGATCGCTGTTCTGCTTTGTTTAGCACTTTTCTGTAGATTTCGAAGCTGTTATTATCTGAAGGACTGAGTTAAAAGCCTTATCGTTAGCCAGTATCATATCAGAATATCTGAATAATTGACCAAGAATAACAATCCAACCAAATAATTCAGACTTTGGTGAACGAAGCAATCATCCGACGCACGGAAATTGAACAGCTATGTGGATATCAAAGAAATCATCCCACATAATCTCACTGTTTGTTAAATCAATAGAAGATACACGAAATCAGGCAGTTGCATACATCAAAAAAATTGTTGCCTACTTCACAGTCTACAGGATATGAGTGTTTATTCACGAAAAAGCTTAATTAGAGAATAAATGATCAAACGAGAACTCCATCGGTGGCCTGTTTAAAATTTTTGGCTACTAAAAAGTTTCGATTGCGTGTATAACATAAAATTACATCTTTTTTTACTTGTTTTAATCATTAAAATGACAACGCATCCTCAAATATACTCTCGTGCATTCTTAAAATATCTTCAACCTATCGTCACCCAAGTTAGCAACAAAATTACAAAACAAATATGAACGCAGATGGCAGTGGGCTCCTGAGCGCGCAACAGTTCGTTACATAACTATCACAGCAATACCTAGCATGAAGTGGAAATTTTCATACTGGCTGAATGATCCTTCACCACCGAACCCAAGGGTACTTTTCTGTTAGTGCCACCTCCCCTTGAGACAATACACTTACAAACTAGATGATAACCTAACAACTAGTAGTTGTGCCTTACTGCTGATTATACCGTTGTTATTAACAATATTTAACTGAGATGGTTGTTCAACTTGAAAATGATGTACACGGAGTAAATTTCTTGAAATATATTATTGTCTGGAATAAAGTGATTCTTGTTGTTAAAAATAAAAGGACATATTTCATGCTTAGTGACTATGTCTTGGAGTAATGTTGTGAAAGGGGTCCATGTGTCACTAGGTAGTTAAACGAGAAAAAAAAGATGGTTGTTAGGTCGTTATAGAATAAGCACATGTATATATGGCAGTGAAACACGACCATTAAAAGTAGAAGACATTAGAAGGCTTCAGGTGTTTGACCACCCTTACCTTCGTAGCATAGGCCATGTTTCGCGGTGACACCATGCGAGCAACGCAGAAGTCAGGTGTAGAGTTTTAGGAAGGAGTGGAAAGTCAACCGATAAGGTCATGAACACTCATCGACTAAGATGGCTGAGCCATGTGTTAACGCATACGTTGGGCGATGTTAGGTGAAGTAGGTTCAAACTGGAAAAGAGCTCATGGGGGCCAGACTAATACATTATATATATATATATATATATATATATATATATATATATATATATATGTATCTTTGTCTTTCATGTTAGTGCTTTGTTGGTTGAGGTGCTGATGTCAGGTGTGGCAACCTGGAGCAGTAATCCCAGCTCTAAGTTGATATCGACTGGCTGATTGCCCTCGCTCTTCATTGTGGACAGAGTCAGCTGGAATCAGTCTTCCATTATGGTCCGTTTGTTGAAATGTTACACAGTGAAAGTGTCATTTACTGGATAATGTTTCGGATATAATTTATTGTCCATATTCATATTCATGATATGAATATCGTAAGGTGAATTTTAAAAGATTCACTGCAATGGTCAGGGGAGATCAATTCAATAACCCCACTCAGGTCCTGCATGCATGTCTCAGAGACACAGCACACATTCATGCATAGAGATTCCAAAATTCTGGACAGCACTGCCTGCTGTCCCATATAGCATAAAGTTCAGGCTTTGGAAGACCCAATATTAAATTGATGGATGGGTCTTAGGAGTGAGGTTTTGATGGCTTCAATCGGTAACAATGGCCGCAGAGAGACAGGTATAAAAAGCTTAATATTTATGTCGGGAGGTGAAGGAAAAAGAGGAGATGGAGTTTATGACGATAAATTAAGTTTGATTGGGTCTTGAATACTACTGAAAGTTTACGGGTGATTGACACTTCCTGGCTGTTTCTGCTTAACGGACCTGAAAGAGAAAACAACTTGTGTGACCGTAGAGCCCAGTGGACACCTGCCTGTCACACACAGCCCTATGGGGAATGTAGTTTTCCGATTTGATTATTCTAACGCTGGATAGAGAAAATCTATGCCATCAGTATCTGAAGACCATAAGGTGGAGAAAAGTGTGATATTTTCGGTGTCAACCTTTTCTAATCTTCCCTTTGCATAGGGAAGGTAGCATAAGGTGTGGCACTGCGTCACCCAAGCGGAATATATCCCTACTGTCACAACCCAGACGTTCACAAATACGACTTCGAGCTCGGACCCGTATCATAGCGTAACAATTTACACTTTAACGGTGACTGCTTTACCTCTTGCTAATGTTCAACTGACCTATCACGCATGGTAGGACATCAGACTAGTTCTTTGGGTCATTGCGATATGCTGGTGCGACCACGTCAAATAGCAGTTATCAGTTAGGAACATAAATCCAAAGTAACCCACAGACTTCGCAAAAGTCGCCTGCACTTGTGAGTGTCGAAAAGAGACGCCAATCTATTTCAAGTCTGCATTAATGCAGAGGAGTAAAACATGATAATTTGCCGCTAAACACCTTTGAACATGGAAGTAGAAAATTACTGAGTAGAGTAACTGAGGTACTAGGTAACGTGTGGGAGTCAGAGACAGTCCCCTCTGACTAGTCTACTTCACTGACCATTTCAGTTTATGAGAAAGGAGAGAAGTCCTCCTGTGATAACCATAAGAGAATCAATCTAAATAATGTCGTGTCCATGATCTTTGTGTCCACAGTCATCCGATGCCTAACCGTAGCACGAGAACAATAGACTGGTGAATCCACGCACTTTTCAGACTTAGATGAGAGTGCGTACGTCAAATCTTCACCCTTCGACAGGTTCAGGATGACAGGCATACTTACCAGCCCTAGAGATAGCATTCGACTCTGTCGACCGTGAGGCGCTTCGGCAGTGTCTAGCTGTGAAGAGAGTACCGAGCAAGTATATAACGATAATCAAAGCTGTCTATTGGTGTGTATGGTGTAGCCATGTAATGGCTTGTGGAGAGCTGTCATCAGAGATGACGACAACGAGTGATGTCCACCACGGAAACCTACTGTTGGCATTTCTGTTCAATTTTATGGTATATGTGTTGATGGACATAACCTTAGGTACGTCTGACTTCACAGGGATTGGCATACTCCCCTACCTGAAGGTCATCTGGTTGACTTGCAGTAGGCAGATGACATTGTCCTGCTAGCTGAAGACGCTGACAAAACGCAGGCTCTTCTGAATGTGTGTGTGTGTTCAGCTGGCATCTGAGTATGTTTGACTGGCGTGCATTTCGCATCTGTCAAATATGTAAGATGATGCTGTAGGACTGGCCTACAACTAATCCCAGTGCTAGGAGAGTTGCATCACCTCAAACGAGCTGGTTGCTGACGGAATCTCAATCGGTATTTGCCAACTTCCATCATCTGTCACGCTGGCTCCACCGAAAGTCCAGTATACTGTGTTGCAATCTCTTCCGTCATGTTATACGCTTGTGACAGATGGCCGTTGAAAGTATGAGACACGGACTAGTTACAGAGTTTGGATCGTAGATGTCTTCTTAGCATTGCTCACGAATGATGCAATCAACATGTGAGCAATGATGAGGTCAGGTTAAGGATACTAGGCAAGGCAGGCAAGTTGATTCATCAGGTTTCAAACCTTCGAATGACTCAGGTGGCTTGAACATGTGTGTTGTGTATGCCGAGTCATCTTGTACCTCGATGAGCCATGCTACAGGAAGTTGGATAAGATTGGAAGAGGGTTCAGTGTGATCAGACCTAGACGTGGTACCAGTCAATGAAGTCTCTGACTGTTGGTCTGAGTCGTGTGGGTGATCCAGACTGACTGGTTGGAGTTCCAAAGATCACAGGAATCAGTGGTTGAGAACGCTTGCTGACATGGCTGGAAACCAGTCACAATGTTCAGATGTATTCAGTTTTTGACGTCTAAAAATTGAGTATTTTCACTAACCTTAGACTTCAAATTCTCTCTCCCAAACATCTTTGTCCGCCTTTGTATCAGTCTTTTTCTATTTCCATTTTATTCTGTGACATCATCAATATCAAACTGAACTTGCGAGGTTACATTTTGCCTGCTTTATTCGATTAGATTTGAAACTGAGACATTAAACGAAATCACTCAGTATTAATAAGGAATTTGCAGCACTTTACCAATTGACCCTGGGTGATTTTAATACCACTGAAACGTTTTTTGTCGGAAACACAACCTATCTTTCCATCAAAAAGATCGATTCCGTGTGGATTGCTTCTCTTAGTTGAATGAGAACTACGTTCTGCAGAACGAAGTGTAATCAAACCAGTATCTCGTTCATTTTAGGCTGCGCCTATCGTAATGATCAAGAAGAAAAAAAGTTCTTTTTGAAGTTCTGCTTTTCTGACTGGATTAAATGCTGTTTTCGAACGCTACCATTATCCAAATAGCTGACTATAGTATCAATCCATGATTCAGAGCAATGTGCAGTAATACACATGAGTTTTCAAATGGCAGCTACTTCTGAATGCGATGAACTGTTGACTATCATCAAGGAACATGGATTTTCACTTTACAATACCGTGTTTAATCCAGCATAAAAATTAGTCCGGTGATTCTTCAACCGGTCGATACAGTAAATGTCATTATCCCAGATGTAGCAGTTTACTTTGAAGATTTTATAATAGTCTTAATGATGGATAGTGGCTAGCAGAGGGATCCAGGACGCGCATTTCGTCTTATTTAAGACTCGTTGGCTGGGAGTGCCTGCCTACCAGTGAGCGACATCATTGCTGCTAAGACTCGACTCAATCGCCTCAAACGCTAGAGCGTTGCCTACTAGACTACTGAGTCACACGAAGCATTACAATAACGAATATAACTAATTCTGCAACGCATAGTAGACAGTGTTATTTTGGGAATTAGTTGTGCATCTGGCATTTTTCTGGTTGATGAACAAACCCTGAGAATATTCATACCATCCAGAAAATATCTTCATACTCAATATCCTTTAGTGATTAAACAGTCAGTACTCAGCGTTTGTGCTTTCAATGCACACCACACAACCACTGTTAAGTCTTGGTAAATATTCCTTCATAAACTAGATAGAAGAGTGCGCTGCAGCTATGTCAACTTCAAATCTTTTATGAACACATAATGACCCAAAGCTGTCGATGGTCGCAGCGGTTGGTACATCCACTTATGAAGTGGTCTGAATCATTCTAAATATTTTTTTCAAATTAAAATGCAATCAAGCGTGCAACCCCAAGATTGGTTGCAACAGAATGAAAAATAGTCAAGCAGATAGAAAAAGAAACATTGTTGGTCTTTACTTAGCTATATAAACCTTCCATAGGGTGACCTACACTTCAAAGATTCACGCTTCTAAGAAGGTATAATCGTTTTATCTATTTTGGGATCAAAAACTTGGATTTATGCAAATAGACTACGACGGTGAACGTCTTCAGATCCATTAGTGATTTACAGAAGAAGTCTTTCAAATGGTTGCATTATCCTGATATTATAATAATAATAATAATAACAGTAATAATGCTAATACTAATACTAATAATAATAGTAAAATCACTTTATTTGAGATAATATTCTCGATATATTGTGGAATTCTCTCAGTGTGCAATATTTCAACAAATTTATTCCTTTTGAGATATTTTCAAATGAAATAATTATACCATAGCAGTAAGGTAATCAGTAATATATAACGACCAGTTGTTGTTAGGCTATCGCCTGACAGACAGCTGCTACCTTGACGTGGTGGTCGGGCTTGTATATCACGATGACCCAACAAGCTGTGCTGGTGGAATGCTTATCCCCTCGAGGTCTTACCATACCATACTAGGTAAAAAGCAGTTACTTTTACCCTTAACATGTTCTTAAACAATGAAGTGATGCATTATGATGGCTTAGATCAGTCTTCAGTGGTAAGTAGTAATCCAAAACCACAGGACGTATGTCCGACTACACCTTCCATAATACAGGCCATTTTTGTAGCATCAAAAAGGCCGTAGGTGACCGGCCTCTAGCAGATTTCCCCTAAGCCCTGCGACCACGCACTAACCTTTCTTTTTCAGGTACCTCAAGAAGACCTAGCATCACACGGTATGGATAGCCAGGAAGTGCCAACCGTCCTCAAAACTCTATCAGCGCTCAAGATGTTAGGCTATCGTCTGGTTGGTTTGTGGGTAGGTTTATGCACCAGGGGAGGAATAGAAAAGCACTCTTGAATCCTATGTCAGAAGTTTATTCAGCCAGTATGAAAATCTTTGGTTTCAATTAATTAACCCTGTGATATATTAATGATGGGTAGGAATTCTAGATGCGCGTTTTGTCCTAGTTGGGACTCGTCAGCTGGATGTATCTGCCTCCCGGTGGCCTTTGTTCTCACTAAGACTCTAGTACAATTAACAACATAATCCAGTATTAGTTATATGACATACTTTTATGTGCTCAGAGGCCCATTGCCATGAACCATGATACATTGAAAACGTTTTAAAAACCCGTGACAGTAAGTATCACGATTTGTTGACATTTGAATGATTATCAAAATCCAAATCCATTCAGCTACATTGTGCACATTCGTGTCTCGTGACCTACTAGTTCGAAGTCATCTCGCTAAACCACCTTGAATGATCCAAACAAGTTCAAAAGGAGCAACTGGATGTGATATATTCGGTTGAAAATATTTTCGTAACCTAAGATTTGGATAGGCAGCAACGCATGCTCACCATGAGAACTGCAGGTCTCAGATTCGATCGCTGGTGAGGACGTGGGTATGCACCATCAAGGGGTCACATACTATGCCAAAACATCAGTCAAAGTTTCCAGGTTCTCCAGTTATGTCGGTCCGTGATGAACGCAACCTGACCAGTCAGCATCGAATCTAAGAAAGATGCAGACAATAGTAACCATTTTCATGGATGACACAGTTGTATCCGATCACTTCCGTCTTAGCTCTTTCGGTTCCTGTAACTGATGTTCTAAGGGTTATTTGTAAAGATGAAACCTTGCAACACACAACCGACTTTGTTCGAAATGAATGGTTGAAAAAGCCGCTAACTGATAGGTTACAACAACCTCCCTGTTAAGATTTCGCATGATAAGTGATGGCCTCATTTTCAACGTCAAAACGATTATCTCTCAATCACTTTGAAGTCAAGTCCTATGTCATTTCATTGTCATCATACATGAATTGAAAGTATGAAATTTACTTCTTGTATCTACGCCTACCGGTTACAAATAGGTCGGAAAATTTACAACTGTCGATGCATGTGCACAATTCCAACATGCTGCCATACATCTTTGGTCACACATATAATGTCCATTGTCAAATATAGGTTTATTTGGCTGGGACAATTAATGAAACCACCTATCTGGTACTGACTGATACACTTATAGTGTTCTGAGATCATATCTATCTATCGGCCAAAACCAACAACCCTACAAATATCCCCATGTTTCAGTGTACCGAAAATCATTGTTATGAATAATGTATCATATTTTAAGCCACAGTAATTCGGAGATTTCTGACGGTAAAAAGTCATAAGGTTAATGCGCACACCGTGCCATCCATCGTTCAACGATACAAGTAAATACACTGAGACAGCTCTATTTAAATGAAGGGAAGAAAATGCATCAAAATTCTGCTGCTAAGCACGATTTTGTTTCGACTCCAATCACAATCCAGTTAAGTGGAAACTGATCTCTTAAACCATAGCTACCTTAGAAAATCTGACCAACAATAACTTGTATTTGTTTACCGAACGACACCAAATGAGGTTGTAACAGATTAAAAATCCCCTAATGAATTCATATAACCTAAATTATGGGCGGTGTGTGCGTGTGAAATCCTTATATCCAAGTAACAGAAAACCATAACTAGTTGCACCTCTGCCACACAAGTGTATCTTCTTTTCTAGTGAGAACTTTCATCATAGAACGATAGAATAATTTAGCTAACATTCAATATCCTCGTCTTACAACAATAATAGTAGTAATGCAGCTTAACGTCAACTTGCAGGTTTCTCCACTCATTTGTTGGCCACACCTATTGCACGAAGCCTGGTGATATAACCTAGATGTCCAAAAACCTGAAAGATGGAGTCAATCACCAATAAACCACAGTTGCTTATCAACATCTTAATCACTTTTATTGCGACTAGTTACTATGCGATGACTTTTTTCTTACTACAAGTGTTTAAATAACGCAAATTTACCCATACACTTCAAATAGCAGACAGTCAAGATTTTATCTTCACCATTGTTCCTAGTTCCCAATCCTTATTACGACTAATTCCCAAGTGATTACAGCAATTCAGGATTATGCATAGACTCATTGTTACACCTTGTACGTTGATCAATTGATTAGTGTAGAATCGATTAAATAGAATGACACAAAAAGTGGTACACTATCTAAATAACTCACAAATAGGTGGAAAATGATTAGCACTTTAAAGTGGAAGTGAAATCACAAAACAATCCTAGGAAAATTATATTCACCTGTTCGGAAGCCATCAGCAATGAAGATAATTCTTCATCATACTGTTTTTTCAAGGTTGATAGTGCGTCATCGTGTTCAGCAATCAACATTTCTGCAGCCCTTTTAACACTGACTAACTCCAGTTCAAGCTTGGCTAACTGTTTCTTTGATTCAACAACTTCATTCTGTGCTTGGTTGTAGGCCAACTGAGACTCGACAAGCTCAGACTCTTTGCTTGACAAAATAAACTGTAAACGGTGTTTAAGTTCCTCATCAGGTAATTGGTCCAAAGTGTTTGAGATGAATGTAGACAAGGTGGGTGTGATAGAGTTTTCTTTTGATGTACTGGCAAAGCAGTCCTCATAATTCGAAGTCTGCTGCTCATGGCTAGGATTATGAGAAAACATATTTTCCGAAAATACACCGAGATGTTTACAAATCAGTTGAGAAAGCGATAGTTAGCCTTCCCTGCATTGGATTTATGAATGCTGTTTGAGTTGATTTATCCTTCAAGAAGGGATAGATTATCAAGATAAGCTGTGAGAATGATAAAACAAAGAATTTATAACACCCTTCACTAAGTGTTGCTGGAAAAATATTTGAATGACTTTCATAAAACCAAACTAAAGATGAAGAGTATCAAACAGTCATGTATTAATTCAATTTGGAGATTTGTGGGGATTCATTTATTGATTACAGGTTGGTATTCGTCATGTTGACTGACATCAGTTGAAATCGTGTATTAGTTTGTCAGATACCTTAAAACATTTGCAATATTTTTGCAATGTCTATTCTTAAGGTTTACTTCTATGTATCGAATGAATAATTACTTTCTTTCAGTTATCAGTCAGTCAGTATCAATATAGCACTTGGTTAGGACTATTGTTTAACGATCGAAGTTGCTATATCTCATATCAGTATATAAAATACAAAGATGATTCTTTTCCAAGAGTGAGAAAAATTTACTGGGTGTCCAAACCTAGTTTCTTCTTATCCTCAATACCAACTACACATAAAGTTTTTTTCAAGACTGCTATCATGAAACCACATACCAGGTTCTGTTATATTTCAGTAGATTGATTGTCGAATAACACAGTTTAGCTTGTATCCCTCATCTGAAATACAAGATTCAAAATGACAGATGGAGAGGGTAAACAATAACATGTATACAAGACGATACCTACTTAGAATAGAATCTGTCTATTCTGACGATCCATATTGCTTGTACTTCATACAAAAGTCTCTTAAAAAATTTCGAAGTTCATAGAACATCAGAGCATCATCATTCTGTTGGAATGCATAAAATCCAAGATAATTCTCGAGGACTCGTGTGCACTAACATTTCGTTTTAGGAAAAGTAGTGTATGCTTACTAATTTATTTATTTAAGAAGTTGCAGTAAATCCAATGAAGTACTTGTAAAATAACCTCGGTAAAAACATTACACAATCGTCTAAAACTTGGCTTACCTACGCCACTTATAATGTCTGTGAGATTTCTGGCCGTCAACAGGCAATGTTACTGAGCAGAGGTCGAGCAATTCGACCCTATATACCAACGGGAAATTACAAGTATCAAACAACAACTGGTACTGGTTGTACAAGAGGTGGCTTTCGCGTCCCAGTAGCCTAGTGGATAACACATTGGCGTTTGAAGTGATGAGCACTGGGCTTGAGTCTCAGTGGAAACACCAACACTCACTGGAGTGTAGATACATCCGGTTGACGAGTCTCAAATATGACGAAACGTGCGTCCTCGAATCCACTGCAAGCCACCAAGATGACTACAACATACTGGACATCAGTTGAATATACGATGCTTCATATTACTGATCCACCTGATGAGGTGCAAATTCAAATAGAACTCCAAGTCCTAAAACCCTACATCTTCATGAATGAGAAAAGAAAAAATTGTCTAGATACTGTAACAGCAGAATCAATTTGACCGAAACTGTGTACACGCCTTTCGCACAAAAGAGTTTGGGTTCAATTCACCATATTTCATAGCGGTATACAGAGAACACGTCAATTGGAAACGGGTGATATCAACGTGAGAAAAAGTGCATGAAAGAATTCGAAAAACGGACCTTATGGACAATCTTCAAACTTCAGAAGATATCAGAAACCGAATAAATTTACAACATTGCAACCGTTTTCCAACCATGTCACTAATAGTCTCCAACCATTGATTTCTATCCTCTCCAAGATCTTAACCAAGCAGTCTAAATTTCCTTATGCGGCTCAGACCAACAGTCAGATACCTCATTGACTAGTGACACATCTTGCTCCACTATACATGAACCATGGTACGATGACACTTGGGATCAAAAGATTGTAACCACTTAATATCTTATACTTTCAACGGCCACCTGTCACAATCGTATAAAATGACAGAACAGACTGAAGCACAGTATACACATCTTTTGTCGTTAGTCAGATATGTCATCAGTCTGTGGGAGAGACGACGCAAGTTGGAAAACACTACACGGGCCTTCTGTATCCCAGCTAAGATTTCGTCAGCAGTCAGACCGTTTGGGCTGATAGGACTGCCCAAACAAGTGAAGAGGTCAACGCATTTCACCAATTCACTCCCTACCCTTAAACCGCGAGTAGTCGCAGACCAGTCCTACAGCATCATCTTACATATTTGACAGATGCGAAATGCACGCCAGCCAAACATACTCAGATGCCAGCTGAACACACACACACATTCAGAAGAGCCTGCGTTTTGTCAGCGTCTTCAGCTAGCAGGACAATGTCATCTGCCTACTGCAAGTCAACCAGATGACCTTCAGGTAGGGGAGTATGCCAATCCCTGTGAAGTCAGACGTACCTAAGGTTATGTCCATCAACACATATACCATAAAATTGAACAGAAATGCCAACAGTAGGTTTCCGTGGTGGACATCACTCGTTGTCGTCATCTCTGATGACAGCTCTCCACAAGCCATTACATGGCTACACCATACACACCAATAGACAGCTTTGATTATCGTTATATACTTGCTCGGTACTCTCTTCACAGCTAGACACTGCCGAAGCGCCTCACGGTCGACAGAGTCGAATGCTATCTCTAGGGCTGGTAAGTATGCCTGTCATCCTGAACCTGTCGAAGGGTGAAGATTTGACGTACGCACTCTCATCTAAGTCTGAAAAGTGCGTGGATTCACCAGTCTATTGTTCTCGTGCTACGGTTAGGCATCGGATGACTGTGGACACAAAGATCATGGACACGACATTATTTAGATTGATTCTCTTATGGTTATCACAGGAGGACTTCTCTCCTTTCTCATAAACTGAAATGGTCAGTGAAGTAGACTAGTCAGAGGGGACTGTCTCTGACTCCCACACGTTACCTAGTACCTCAGTTACTCTACTCAGTAATTTTCTACTTCCATGTTCAAAGGTGTTTAGCGGCAAATTATCATGTTTTACTCCTCTGCATTAATGCAGACTTGAAACAGCTTTCTCAACTTCAATGAGAGACGACGGACGCGCATCCAAATTTCGGTTCGGGTCGAATACTAGTTAACTGAAGCGTGGTTGACTGTTACTTGAAATGGTTTTCAGTGTTTGGCGCTACGCTCTAGGCACCCTTACTGGGAGGTTCCCACAGACCCATCTTTTTTGTAATGGTCTCATCATCTTGCCAGCATCCTTAGTAATCTGAAATACCTGTCGAACACTAACTAATGGTGACGTCTTCTCTCTCTACCGCTATCGCCACCCAACACTGCTAGCGATCATTTTGAAGACTTTTGCCTCATTTTCGTCTGATTTTCTTTCTTTTATCCTCGTGGTCAGCGCCAGTTGGAATAAGTCCTGTTGCAGCACCATTGCCAAAGGAGTATCAAAACATTAACCACCCAGTGGACTGCACCGATACACTGCAATGAGATCTGAAGGGAAAGGGGAAACTCGCTGTTGTTTCCTTGTAATCACCATTTATGCATACACTAATTGCAGTCCAAATGAACTGAGTTTTGCCGGAAAAACGTTCACTCTTATACTGAGTCAAACGTTCAGAAATGGCTATCGTAACAGGTGATTTCAATGCATAGATGGAAGGTTAAGCCAGACAGAAGAGTACTTAGGTGGCACTTTTGTAATCCCAACTGATCAAATGGATAATGCTGATCACCTGCTAGAGCCGTACTCAGGTAATCGGCACTGTTTTCAAATAGGCATTATTTGGTGTGGTGTCCATCGAACTCTACTAGCTGGTGGGCGAAAATGACCATGTTGATGTCAGTTATCACAGGAGCTACTCAGTAACAGATTACCTCCTGTGGCACATGCTTAAACAGTGGTCAAGCTTCACTGTGAGTATGCGTCTGCCTGGGACTACAAGTAGAGACCGAAAATGAAAGACCTTTTAAGATTAGTCAGATGATGAATATTCTAAGGCAGTTTAAAGACTGATGGGACCAGGACGTGTATAAAAGGTTAGTGGATTGCAACAGCATCCGAATTAATAGACCCATGTGAACGCACTCACACAGGGTGCAAAAACGGAAACAACTCAAGTGAAGATTACCACAGAGACAAAACCAACATAGGACCTGACATTAATGCATAACGATTCAAGTTGCTACACTTAATATCAGCACACCAAACAACAAAACACTAAAATGAAAGATAAAAGAATAAAGAAGGATCGGTCGAAAGCATTAAAAGAGGAAGGAAGAGTGCGATCCTAAATTCATTATAGCGGTTAAGATGAAGATAATGTGTGGGTACATAGATTCAGAGCTATAATCTCCAACCACTGGTTTCTGTTGCCACGTGGAACCCAACCTACTGGTTCCTCTCCTTAGGAGGTTGAAACCAGCGGTCAAGGGCTCCACGCAGGGATGTCATGTATTAGTCTGACTGCCACGAGTCCTTTTCCAGCCTGAACCTACTTCAGCTAACATTGCGCGAGGAGGCAGGAGGAGACTAGGCATGTGCAATACATATTTTAGTCAGCTGATGAATGTTCACAATCTTATCAAGTGACTTCCCTTTTCTTACTAAAACTATACATCTGATTTCTGCATTACCGACGTGGTGACACCGTGGCACATAGCTTATGCTACGAAGCATACCCGAAGCCTTCTCATGCTTTCTACCTTCAATAGGTTTGTTTCCCAGCTATGCGATAGGACAGAATGCACTGCAACGCAGTACGCTTGGTCCTTAATACGCAATTAGATATCACGACGGTGCCCTAAATAGAGTAAGTTGACGAAATTTACGGGAACCATTTGCATATATGTGGAGATTTTGTTAACCATTGACTCATCAGAACTATCCCAACATCACAGGTAGGTGAAGTGGTCAACGCGAGCAGACATTTTACTTCACCTAAAGATCATGAGTAGTGGTACGTAGCGAAGGCTAAAGAAATAACAAAGATGGGAGCAATGGGCAGTAGTAGACAGCTGTTTAAACTTACTAGAACTTTGATGATAAGGGAGGTGATGAGTAAGACTACAACGGAGATGTTCTTGATCTATTCACAAGGGAAATTATCAGAATGATGGGCAAAACACTTTGAGGAAGGGTCCAACTGACCTCTAGTTACTCCTTAGTCGTCTACTATTTAGTCATATCTCAAGTGGAATATTCAGATAGGATCTCTTTTTCAGTTGAAAAAATTATAAGTAATCTGAAAAAAAGATAGTAGGTTCCGATGAATTTATGCCACCGATATTTAAGTACTGCGTTTCGCAGTATGAACCCCAGTGATTGATCTTAATCGCTAATTTTATCAATCTCCGAGAAAGGAGAGAAATTCTACGGTGATAACCACAGGGGAATTAGTCTGAGGAACAGTGTCGAAAACTCGAGATTTTGTAGCCGACAGACTCCGAAATTAAGCTTCACAACAGCAAAATCAAAAGACAGAGAAGGTTCCCTATAGGAAAACCAACTGCATGTCTAAGTTGCATTGGATCTCGGAACAAATGTAGATTTATTCCCATCTAGTAGCATTCGACCCGATTAGTCTCAAGGCTTTATGGTAATGTTATTTACTGATATTTGACCTTTAAAGCAATCACGTAGTTGAAAGCTTGATACGTAGACATCTGCGGTTGCATGAGCTTACGGTGTTGTCAGCTTCGAGCGACGTCCATCGAGGATGTCCACTTTCTACTACTTCATTTTACAACAGGCATGCTTACTGACGTCTTTTTCTGGTATAACTTTGCAGAGACTGAACTTACTAAAACAGACTTCTTAGATCTAGAATGTTTAGGATACATTTACCATCTACCTAACTTAAATTGGCTTGCATCGATATATTGTATGACGATAGGGAGTGAAGTAATCAGGTGCGTTGATCATCACGGGAACTTGAGTAGTCGGATGAGTTATAGTAGATAAGTGGCCGACGAAATCCTAGCATCTAAAGGCTTCATTGGCTTTTACCGACTTATATCACCTATGATGCCAATAAGACATCTCTTAACGGGAAAATTTCGGGAAAACACATTAGTCCCTGATTAGTTACGTATATTACACTTATGAGTTCTTAGTATTCACGAAATATCGCTCGTCCCCAAATCATACTTCACAGCTGCTTGGTGATGATCTACACTAGTGTGGATGATCTTCAATAACAAACCGTGTTGACTACTAGAATTTTAACATCCAATACTAATAGAGAATAGAAAACAGGATCTGTTCTAAATTGAATTAATCTACTGGAGTCCATTCTGTATAACAGATGATTTCCTACTGAAGCAAAACGAGGTTTGAGAAAAATTTAAGGCCACATTTGACAATGAAATTTCGCCATTTATTCTATGGTCAACTTTGCATAGGCATTGCCACCGCCCTACCTCACCTCATGAGTCGATAGGAATATCTTGAGACTTCTAAGGAAGAAAAAAACACTGTAGAATTCATTCTTAGAAACAGGT